TCGTGTACGGAGCCGAGGCCATGCTACCGCTAGAAGGCCAGACACCATCTCTCAGAGCCTCCATTTTCAATCAACTCACAATGAAAGAAAGTTGGTGACCTCATACTTGTGCTCAAAAGGCATATTCTTGCACGCCGCAAAATAGGTGAAAAATTCAAACAAACTTGGGAGGGACCATTTGTCATTGAAAAGTTCTACACAGGAGGAGCCTACCAATTAGTGGACTTCCAGGGCGAAAGACCCATGTTACCAAAAAATGGACGATATATGAAAACCTATTAGGCAACATGATGCCGCTTGCCTCTGCTTGCTTTGAAACTTTGGAAACTTTGATTATTTTAAGGTTATCAATGTGGCCACATGTCTATGACCGGGTCTAAATTTTGTAATTAACCTCAATATAATGAAAATTTTAAAAATTTTAAACTTCAAATTTTCTCCTTTCTACTTTCGAACTTAATATTCCACTAAATTAAACAAAACTCATACATAAAATAAACAATTCATTTTAACAAAATAAACTAAAATTTACTTTAATAAATACTTTGTTTTGCTCTTGTTCATGACAAGTTTTGGCCTACTGATATTTTTCCTGTAAGAATATTGTTAAAGAAGTACATGTCGGATTGTGTTGAGCTCACCAGTCAGAGCCAAAAATGAAAATGAAGATTAAAAGACTTGGATATTATTGGCTAGCAATGACGTCCGATTACATGGATATAGCCAGAAAATGTCACCAATGCCAAGTGCATGGGGTGGTCTTACACCAGCCTCCGAATGTGCTACACCCAACTATTGCCTCGTGGCCATTCGAGTGTTGGGGCACGGACATAATAGGTCCGATAGACCCTCCACCTTCTAAAGGACACAGGTTTATACTTGCCGCTACAGATTATTTCTCCAAATGGGCAGAGGCAGTACCATTACGTGAGGTTACGGCATAGCACGTCCTTATATTTTTCAAAAGCCAAATTGTCTACCATTTCTGAGTACCGTGAAGAATAATTTAAGATAATGGGACAGCTTTCAGAAGCACAAAGATCAATAATTTTATCAAAAGACATGGAATAAATTGGAGATACTCTACGATTTACTATCCTAGAGCACATGGTCTGGTCGAGGCTTTCAACAAAACACTGGTACAGATTTTGAAGAAAACACTGGATGAAAACAAAAGGGATTGGCACAACAAACTATTAGAAGCCATGTGGGCCTATCGGACAACTTTCAGGACTCCCCGGAGCCGAGGCCGTGCTACCGCTAGAAATCCAGATACCATCTCTCAGAGTCGACATTGCCAACCAACTCACAACGGAAGAAAGTGCGAAACTCAGACTTGAAGAACTGAAGAGTCTCTCAGGAAAAGAGCTAGAAGCACAACAACATTTGGAGGTTTACTAGAAAAAGATGGTACAAGCCCATGATAAATTGGTCTGCCCAAGGACATTCAAAGTTGGCGACCTCGTACTTGTGCTCAAAAGGTCTATTATTGCATACCACAAAATAGGTGAAAATTTTGAGCCAACTTGGGAGGTACCATTTGTCATTGAAAAGGTCTATACAGGAGGAGCCTACTAGTTAGTGGACTTCCAGGGCAAATGACCTATGTTACCAATAAACAGACGATATCTGTAAACTTATTATGCAACCTGACGCCGCTTGCCTCTGCTTGCTTTGAAACTTTGGAAACTTTGATTGTTTTAGGGGTATCTATGTGGCCAAATGTCTATGACCAGGTCCAAATTTTGTAATTAACCTCAATAAAATGAAAATTTTGAGAATGAAATTTTAAACTTCAAATTTTCTTCTTTCCACTTTTGAGTATAATGTTCCACTAAATTAAACAAAAATCATACAAAAAATAAACAATTTATTTCACCAAAACAAACTAAAATTTACTTTAATAAATACTTTGTTTTGTTCATGTTCAAGACAAGTTTTGGTCCACTGACATTTTTCCTGTCGTCTGCAGAAAAATATTAGGACAGAGGCTGATCTTTGCTTCCCAGGATGGCTGGAGCCTCGCACTAAATGAGGAAATGGCTCTGTAGGGTAGTACCATAGACTTTAACATGGATTTTAACCAGGTTGACATGGACTACGAAGGTCCTCTCATGGAAGTAGTCAGCTGCAAAGAGAAAGAGGGATTGCCTTCACTACTGAGAACGACCGCTAAAATTAATGTTTCACACAATAGCAAGAACGTGATGACAGAGCAAGATCTGATGGAAGGGCCCAGTCATCTGCCCTCCATGGTAGCTAGACCAGTCGGGGTCCTAGTAGCCGCCAATAACAAACGACTGCCAAGTACTTTGCTTCAAAGAACACAACACAGAAACGCCAGTCGCAAGAAGCAGAGAGCTTTTCTATGACAAGAACGCAGACTTCAGAGAGAGACGAATAACTTAGAGACAAACAACTTGCTCACCCCTACTATTCCTGAGGGGCATATTTATGATCCAGACCTAAAAGAAACTTCTACTAGCCTACCCACCATAGATGAAGAGCAAGGGTTCGTGACAGAGTCAGATACACTTTCAGTTTTAGATGTTTTATGCAAGGGTTGCCTGACGTGCAACGCTGAAATATCGGTCGGGACATCAGCCACGGGTCTGTTTGTAGAATGCCCGGATTGCAGTGTTCTACATTTACAGCGTTTCAGTACATTGTAAGAGTATACCTCAAGCACCGATCGGTCTCAGACATCATATTTTATGATGGATGAGCCATACGTCCCACTGGGGACAGATCAGTATGTACCATGAAGCCCAGGGTTGTACATCCCGCTAGATGCCGAGTCTCATGTTCCATATCAACCAGTGCAAGTTTGGGTTCTTGCCAATGCTTGAAGGCAGGAACACCCGCAATAGCTACCGACCTCTAGTACAATGGAGTACTACAAGATAAGTAATGTAAATAAAAGAGAATTTGAATTTTATGAAGAAGTTCAGGGAAAATTCATCAACATACTGGAGGGATTAGAACTCTATACCAGAGTCTTCTTAGAGACTGACGGACAAAGTATACTTGACTGCATTTTTGACCTAAGGGACAGAGGTCGAGCAGGTTTACTTATAGAAAGGACCTATTCCGAGACAAGGAAATGGATACGAGGAGAAGGGAGGATTACTATCCAGTGTGGCTGCTGCTGCAATCCAGCTGGGATCCTCAGACACGATCAAGTATATCCACTACCGCTAATGATAAAGTGAATGTTCAAAAGAATGGTCAAATGGAATATTCTGCCAGCTACCTGCATCACAAACAGCTGCATCATTAACATATGTAACGAGGGAGACTGCATACCTCCTCACATTGATCATCATGATTTTGTAACACCCTTCTACACGTTCTCATTTCTGAGCAAGAGCAATATTTTATTTGAGAAAGTGATTGCCATCGTCAGCCCTGGTGAGTTCAGAGGTTCTGTAGAGATTCCTCTACCAGTCGGTTCAGTGCTCATTCTTAAAGGCAACGGTGCAAATATTGACAAACATTGCATTCCAAGGGTACGACACCGCAGGGTGTCTGTGACTTTCCACAGGATGGATGACTGCAAAATGCCATATGGACTCCAGCCGGACTCGGAACTAGAAGAGCTACTGTCATACGATCTATGAGAGGGTTGTACCTCTATGTACATGCGAAGGGAACTCTTATCATGGAGCATGGCTTAGAAGGTATACTTGATCAGTAGCTCGTCGTACCTGGAACAGATGATTAGAGAGTTCACTTTTTTTTTATATATAACAACATGATATGTATCTGATATATGCTGCCTACAATATATTCATAGCATGAGATGTTCTGAATGTATTTCGACATGGACTATATATTGTACCTTTTTGAAGTGTTAGCCTATGTTCGATCTATAACATCTTTATGGGAACAGATTAATAGAAATTTCTCTCAAAATGTGCCTTTTTCGTCAGTTGTCTTTTTGTGCGATGGATGAAAGTTGCGAACCTTGGTTCATAATTCAATTAACAAAGAACGAAACAACAAATCTTTAACAATAAATAAAATTTAACTAAAAATATTCACCAATGAATAAGCAACAAAACAAATTTCTTTTGAAAATCAACCAACTAAAATTAAAACTTTAAAAACATATTTTAAAAAATTTAATGTGATAAAAACAATAAGAAAAGGAAACAAATCTGTTGAGTGGATTCTCTCATTTTGGAGTTACTTACTCTTTGTGCGTGCAGCACAACCATCTTTATCTGCATTAACTCTCTTCACATCCCCGCGGAATTTCACATTCTGCACAAAACCCCATAAAACTCTGCAAATCTTCTTCAACAAAATCAACCTTTTCACGTGACACATTTCTGCAAATTCAACATCACTAACTCTCTACACTGTTTTCATATGAGGTCAGTACCCAAATTTTGACTCCCCATATCTGAAGATCGATGTGAGGCTCGCTTCAATGGATGTTAAGGCTTCCAATTTCTTAAAATTTCAAATTCTCCGAAGATCGGTGTAAGGCCCCCTTCAATGGATGTTAGGGCTTCTGATTCCTTCAAATTTGAAATTCTCAGAAGATCGGTGTGAGGCCCCCTTCAATGGATGTTAAGCCTTCCGATTTATTTAAATTTTAAATTCTTCAAAGATAGGTGTGAGGCCTTCTTCAATGGATGTTAAGGCTTCCGATTTCATTAAATTTCAAATTCTCCAAAGATTTGTGTGAGGCCCCCTTTAATGGATGTTAAGGCTTCTGATTCCTTCAAATTTCAAATTCTCAGAAGATCGGTGTGAGGCCCCCTTCAATGGATGTTAAGGCTTCCGATTCCTTCAAATTTCAAATTCTCCAAAGATCGGTGTGAGGCCCCCTTCAGCGGATGTTAAGGCTTCCGATTTCTTCACATATTCCCCACGAATTCACATGTGTGAATCTGCATATTTACTGCATAAGCACACATATTTTCTCGTTACCTCTTAAGTTGGATGTGAGTCTTTTCCTTTCCTTCTCAATGTAACACACATATTTTCTTGTCACCACTTGAGTTGGATGTGAGTTCTAGTGCTTTCCTTCCTAACATGACACACATATTTTCTCATTACCTCTTGAGTTGAATGTAAGTCTTGGTGCTTTCCTTCTCAATATAACACACATATTTTTTTGTCACCGCTTGGGTTGGATGTGAGTCCTAGTGCTTTCCTTCCCAACATGATGCACATATTTTCTTGTCACCGCTTGGGTTGGATGTGAGTCCTAGTGCTTTCCTTCCCAACATGATGCACATATTTTCTTGTCACCGCTTGGGTTGGATGTGAGTCCTAGTGCTTTCCTTCCTAACGTGATGCACATATTTTCTTGTTACCTCTTGAGTTGGATGTGAGT